CGGGTTTATGTAGAGTTGTAGATCTTGAATAGGAGAATCTGATGCACCCTTGATAATTGAAATTCCATACATTTTCAAAGCACTTTAGCTTCTTTGAATTTCACTGACTGCTCATCAAAATTATGAACAAGTTTTATTAACTAGTATATAAAAAGATGCAAAATGTCAGCTTCTTTCTAATGGTAAAAATCGCAGATCGATAGCTCTTTCTGTTAAAGAGTTATTCAATAAACAACCACTCTTCTTTTATTTTGAAAGGGACATTAGTTTTATTGATATTGACTTTTTGAAATGCGTGCGAAGCGATGCGAATTTTGTTTTTCTGGAATCTGTACTGCTTTTTGTGTTTTGTCAACCACAATATTAGTCTAATATTTTGAATGATTTGTTGACCACGTGTCCTTCTTCTCATAGAAGAAGTAATGATGCGATGGCGCATGATTATGATATGATTCAATAAGTAGAGGGTGTGGGGTGAGGTGTGGGTGTGCATGCAGGTGCAAATGCACATATATAAGTCCGCACTCACACCCATATCCACACCGGCACACACCCACACCCACACCCACACCCCACACCCACCCACACCCATCGTTCTATTATATCTAAAATAATGTCCTTGGTTAATGTTCCTACCTGCGATATGTGGTAAGAAAGAAAGAAAAAAAAAACAGCTTCCTAACGTTATCTATTTGTTCTTTTTATTGTTGTTCGTGTGAGGCAAAGAGAGTCTCAAATATATATATTTCTTTTCCTTGTTTGTTATTAAAAAAAATCAAACAAATTAAAAAAGTTATTCGATTGATTCTAGATTATTGGTAATAATGTTATTTTAATTGATAATTCTAATGAAAGTCTCTATAAACAAATGAGTAGAGATTTGGCTTATTTATTTTCGAGGATGGTATCGTGTTTCTTTTATGTCTAGTTTCTCAATCGACCTGATAGGATATGCTTAGAAGACGATTGAGAATAATATATGAAAGAAACACGAGACCACTTTAGTAACAAACAAACTAGTCTATGAATATATTTTTGTGTACTGAAAAAGTTCATAGACTCTAGAATTGGTCAGTGTGTCCGTCCGTTTACACGATAACTTTTGAAAGGAGAGTCCGATCGTGATGAAATCTTCTACACAGTTTAGTCTCAACAATATCTCGGTCGAGAAAAGAAGATGAGAATGATTTGCCGAGCTATTGCTGAGTTAAATATTCATTATTCCCTATGCTTTCCTATGCGAAGATCTATCTATCCCCGTTTTCGTAAAAAACTTTTCCTATCATAGTCAACTAAAACCCCAACTATTCGAAACCATTCGATAGAGAATTTCACGAGCTACAAAATGGTATATAAAACATTAGGAAACAAGAAGGCTAACTCACCTATTGCAAAGATAATTAACCGGAAATTTGTTCTGTTTTTGCCCACGCTCTAATTAATCCACAACTAGAGGTCTATCTTACGATCACAGAGATGATACTTCGAGGTTTTCTGAGGCGGAGAACTCGAATCTGAGCTCCACTTGCCTCGAAATTCTATTGGTTGAACAGTAACCAATAGAAATCAAGTTATAGGAAAAACGACTTTCTTAGGATAATTCAAGGCGAATAGTTCAAAATCTGAGCTATATTCGCCTCCAAATCCTATTGGTTGAGCACTAACCAATAGAAATGAAGTGTTTATAGAAAAGGCTTGCCATTGCCAGGATAATATTGATGTCCAGACATTCTAGGATTAATCATCTGTCTAATTCACTTTTTGAAGTACACATAACTCTCAGATTTAAATCCTAGGTTTCCACATTTATTTTTTTCTTATTAACAAGCGAAGTTCGCGTGAATATGAAGATAACTAAAAGAAGAGAATGAATGTATTCACAACTGAGAAGAATCAATCGATGACTCAAAGTCAACTGTTTCAATTCTGTTTATTTTAATAGAATAAAATTCGGACAATATAAAAGTTGTTTCCTTATTTATAATATTAAAATTGAAATTATTATATTAATGATAAGTTTGAAAGAAAAAAAACTTTTATACTATAGATTCTAATAACTAATAATAACTGATAGTAATTATATAAGCTCTGATTAATAATATTTATTTGAATTCAATCGACTTTAATATATCGATTCATTGATTTAGTAACGAAATTCATTTTTTTTTGAATGACATCTATATTACATAATGAAAGAAAACTGCCAAAATTTCATGTTAAAATATGTATACTAAGAATTTTCAAAAGAATGTTTTTTTTTAGTGTACTCAAAAAGTGAGTACACTACTAGAATTGGTCAGTGTGTCCGTCCGGCCGTTTACACGATAACTTTCGAAAGGAGAGGCAGATCGTGATGAAATTTTCTGCACAGTTTAGTCTCATGAATATCTCGGTCAAGTTCGAAGATGAGCCTGGTTGTACGAGTCCTTTCTGAGTTATTGCAAAAATACTCATTTTTCCCTATGCTTTTCTATAGGAAGATCGACATGTGACCGGTTTCGTATGAAACTTTTCTACCAGAGTCAAATAAAATCCCACTTATTATATACTATTCGATAGAGAATTTCACCAGCTACAAAATGGTATATAATATATAATGAAACAAGAAAGCAAAGTAACCTATATGGCAAACATAATTAAGCAGGAAGTGGTTGCAATGTTGTCAACGACGTCATTGAGCCAGAATTAGAGCTCTATCTTCCGATCACAGATATGTTACTTCAAGGTTTTCTGGGACGAAGAACTCGAATCTGTACTCCATTTGCCTCGAAATCCCATTGGTTGAGCAATAACCAATAAAAATCAAGTTACGGAGAAAATGTTTTTCTTAGAGTAACTCAAGGCGAAGAGTTCAAATCTGAGCTGTATTCGCCTTTATATCCTATCAGATGAGCACAGCCAATAGAAATTCTGCTTATAGAAAAGATTTCCCATTATAATTTTGACGCCCAGACATTCTAGAATGACTCATCTGTCTCATACACTTTTTGAGGTACACATAACTTTCGGATAAAATCTGAAGTTTTCGCATTTATTTCTATATGATTTCTACTAATTTCGAATGATACTCTATAAATGGACTGGTAGCAAATTACAACCATAACATGATTGCTTAAAAGAAAAACATGAAATATATTTTACTATCTATATTTCTCCATTGAATTTTATTTGCGAATTGCTTCGTTTTTTATTCTAAGATATTTTGAGAAATTTTTTCAAAGAATATAACATATTGAACTACTTACACATATTTTTGACTGTCAAAAATATCTCACAATGCTACGAATTATTCATAAATATGATTTGACAAAAAATAGATGCTAAAGTGAAATAATCCTTATTCATTTAAAATTTCATCCAGTTAACAATCGCTTTAGATATTCTTTTAGCAAATTTCGAACACAAGCATTAATGTCTTTGAACGTGATAATGCAAAACATGCCAAAAAAGATCAATATTTTCGAACGAATAAAATTTCTTTTGACATATTTCATCACACTCCCAAAAAAAATGATTACTTTATTTATCATATTTTATTTTTTATATTATTTGTTAAATTTATTCTAAAAATTAGAAATCGATGAAAATTAATTGTTCTATTAATAGTATAGTTTATTTTTGAATCAACTAACTTATTTCATTCTCATATAAGAACATAAAGAAAAATGTCAAAAAAAGACTTTCATTTTCAACTAAATATCAGTTTTCATAGCTTATATTTAATATAATACTTGGTTAAAATACACGAAAATTAGTAGACTTTTATAATACCTTTATTTCAACAAGCTAACATCGAATATGCAATCCTGCATACACAAAAAAAAAATGATTATTATTGATTAAAAATGAAACACTCTTATGAAGTGAGATGTCGATTCATATTGTATACTTTAAAACATAGTGATATGATGAAATTGCCTTACTTCTGATTGATAATTTAATGACCGATAAATTCATCTACGAGCAAATTTGACTGTCATGATGATAGGTCACAGTATTCATCATTGACTATGTAACATTGCCATTGCTGACGGCATCGGACAAAGTAGAAAATAAATATATACATGTATAGACAGACAGATAAATATCGTTGGAGTGTTTTATCGGTTGGCCGTAAAAATGTCGAAAGGAAAAATGTCGAAACAATAATATAGACATGAAAAATAGCCAGCAAATGTTTAAGAGCTATGAATAGAATGAACATGTTTTATTATATGCATTGATGTTAACATTCTAATAGTGATCAAATATAGATAATGAAAAAACAATCGATTATATATATCATATTTTTCGCTTAGCAACTGTAAGTGATCAACCATCTAAGTATTCCATACTATTTATAGTATGGAATAATATCGTTCACCAAGATTATCTGTACGATGTTCAATAGGAATTGTTTTAGCTTGTTTTGGTCTAGCCCTTAAATCTGTAGTAAATTAAGTGAAGACTTTCCTTTATTTGGATTTATAAATGAAATAGCTGGAGATTTTGCTTGAGTTGAATCAGTTGAAGATGCAATAGCTTCAGCCATGACAATAGAATTTTAGCGATATAATAGTTCTTCGTTCAACTCTTTTATTTAATTTTTATCAGGTATTAGTCATCGTCATTACTACTAGTTAAAACTCTACACTAGTAGAATTATAAGAAAAGCAACAATGAACTATATGTGATTAGATTCACCATCTACTGGAGACATCATTTTTTTCGATATTTTCCTATTTCAATATTCTCCCACTTCAATATTTACTTTTCGATATTTTTCCAGCACACCGTTTTATCATATACAGTCAAATATGAATTCAACTGTTAACATTTTTGACCTATGTGACGAGATGTTGCTTACCATTTTGAACAAACTCGATAATGTTGATGTATTATATTCACTGATAGGAGTCAATCAAAAATTTGATAGATTGGCTCGAAGTATTGACTTCACCCAATCTCTTGATCTTACAGCGATATCATCATATGGAGATGATTACTCAAAAATTAAATCTATGTTCAATCGATTCTGTTTTTATATATTACCTCAAATTCAACACAATATCCAATGTCTTACTCTTGATCCTTGGTCAATAACTAGTGTTCTTTTTATTGGAAATTATCCTAAACTTCATAAACTGACTCTTATTAATTTCAAAGTTGAAATGGCTAATAGTATTTTTTGTAGTACGTTATTTGATCTCATCATTTACAACTAAATATAATTAAATATATCAATTTGTATGTTTAGCCAATTCATCATTTGTTTCCATATTTCAACATCAGATTTCAAATCTTGTTATAATGATTAATGGTACTAGTGGATATCAATATAGATGGTGTCTATGCTCATCTATGTTTGTCCAAATTTCTATGAAGTTTACAAATCTAACTCATTTCCAGTTTGATTTAATAAACAATTGTATATATGCACTAGAACTTGCTGGTTTACCGTCTCAATGTTATTCATCAAGTATTGTTCATTTAAATCTTAAGGTGAAGATGTTTGATGATTGTCTTTGGTTACTCAATGGCCATCTTAGTCAATTACATACATTAGTTGTTCATGTTGAACATATTCATAATACATCAAAGATTATCAACAATACGGTAATATATTTTAAATCATAGCGAAAGACTCCTTTTATGTCGATTTTTGATAAAACTAAGCAATTAAATATCGAGAAATGAACTTAATTTCAAAATACTATGAGTCAATATACTTGATAAAATTTTCATTTGATAATTGATGGATAAAATAAAAGGTTCAAAATAGAATGAAGATAACTGTCTTGTTGTTAGATCTAATTTTCAATAAATAATACTTATTATTTATATTAATATTTTATAGAAAACTGTGTCGAATCTGAAATGTTTTTCGTTGACATCATTTTCTATAACATTGGAATATGATAATCAAATTATTCCACTCCTTCATCACATGTCACAATTAGAAAAATTAACATTATCTCTTTATGTTCATGGTCGAACTTCATTTATTGATGGTACTCATCTGAATAATGATATCATTAGTAAAATGCCCTATCTACATAGATTTAATTTTGATATTGTCACCGAAATTGTCATAATCAAAAATGAATATTTGCCAACATCTGATGATGTTCGATGTCCACTTATCGAAAAAGGATATAATGTTGATTGCTATATTGACTATCTTGGAACTGAAAGAGGTCGATGTCATATTTACTCGTTTTCCTCTACTATGGAACGTATGCATGTAATTACTAACAAATTTCCTGACGGTATATTTATGAATGTTCGTATGGTATATGTGAGTGATTCGATGCATTCAATTGAATATGATTTCTTCGTTCGAATTTCACAAGCATTTCCATTACTTAAAGATTTAACTGTGTTAAGTACTGTTAAGCAACAGAAATCGACAAATGAACTAGATGAACATGAACAAACGTTTTCAATTATTGAATATTCTCATCTGATGACACTCGATCTAATTTCGTCTCATATCGACTATGCGAAACAATTTCTTCTTAAGACAAGTTTACCGCGTCTTAGTGCACTAGGTATTGACTATGAACACTTCGTAAACGTAACAGAAAATTTTACAAGTAATACAGCTCGTGCTAACTGTGCAAATTTAAAAAACATTATTTTCCGTAACAAGCCAAGAGTCCTTACAGAAAAATTTTTTACTTATTTTCCTCTTGTTTTAAATATACATCGAGTCGAGAACTGTTGATATTGTATCCAGTGTTATTTTCTGTTTATTTTCTCTTGTAAATAAATTAGATGATAATTGTATACACACTGAATGACGTAAATGAATTACAAAATAATTCAAAAACACTGAATTACAAAATAATTCACTTTCTATTAGTTTCTACCAGGGTCTACCAGGGTCTACCAGGGTCTA